TATTCGCAGCACTTAGTACAGTACCTGGCACACAGGACATGTTAATAAATAATGTTCCTTGCCTTACCTTGATATAGTTCCTAGAAACCTGAACCCTACTGCTATGGGCTAGTTGAGCAATTGTGTATCAATCACTGACATTGCTGGGTTTTTTGCAATACTTTTGGTAATTGTGTTTCTTTTTTCCTTCTTGTTCCCCTTTTCCTTCTTCCCATACTCCTCAATTGTAGCATCCATGATATACTCATATTTTAGTAATATTTAATATAAAATCCAAGGTATATATTTTCTTTTCAAAAATATTTATTTTTAGGGGCAGCTAGGTGGCACAGTGGATAGAGCACCAGCCCTGGAGTCAGGAGGACCTGAGTTCAAATCCAGCCTCAGACACATAACACTTACTAGCTGTGTGACTCTGGGCAAGTCACTAACCCCAATTGCCTAAAAAATATTTTTATTTTTTCTCAATTACACATAAATAGAAATTTTTGACATTCACTTAAAATTTTTTTGAGGTCCAAATTCTCATCCCCTCTCTCTCTCCCATCGAGGGAGAACTGGTTGGATCAGTTCACAACTCCACCAACATTGCATTAGTGTTCCAATTTTTCCACATCCTCTTCAACATTTATCATTTTCCTCAAATTCATTGCTGAGACTGAGTATTTTCTGAGTACTTTTAAAACTCCCTTTTATCAGGAAGGCACCCTGGAAAATTTGGAATATTCGACTGCCTTAGAAAACTCCCATAGGGCAATATTTACAATATCCTCCATCCCGATCATGTTACTCAGCATTCTAGACCTTTCTTAAATCCCCGACACAGCCTTCAAGGCCTTCACCTTGAGGGCACTCATTGCAGGTCAGTGGTTTTCCTCAAACTCCCAGTGCTTTTGGGAGGTCCGTATTCATTTCTTTGTATCAGTCCTTGAAGAGATCTAATCTGTGGCTCACCTGTACACCTGAATGCACAGTAGTATAGTATCCACTAAACCTTCAACCCTGCTAAGTGTTTGTGAGCAATGATCTCCAGGCTTAGTGATTGCAAAGTCAAAGATATATCTTACAGTGTGTTATCACTCGTAAACCAACCCACTCAAATGTCCCCTTTGTGTCAGAGATTCTTATGCTATCGAGGCTCTCCTAGTTATGTTTTGGGAGGTTTTTTCCTCTCACATTTTTGGCACTTATGCCCCCCCATCCTAATACCTTGGGCAAATGCATCT